TCACTAGACTCTTCTTCCTTTGCCAACTCTACTAGAAACTGATAGGGCAACCTTGAGGCAAGGTACTTCTTTCTCTAGGCCTCAGTTGTCAGTTCTCTGGTTCTTCAAATGAAGGAGTTGACCTGGATAACCCTCCAGACCCTCCAGTGAACCATGTCATCTGAAAATGTTCTGTCAACACGGGGATGTCTTCTTCCTGGCCTTGCAGAGGCTGTGGAGATTGCTGGTGAAATGACACTTCCCAGCATCTGCCCCGTGGGGTGCTCTGGCAGTGAGAAGAAAGCTTATCAGTGAGCTCCTTCCTCCAGCAGATTGCTCAGTTTAAGGAAGACAAAAATCAACAACACAATGATAGGAGGTGTTATGAATGCAAGAAATAGTCTTTTGACTTAATTCAAGATGACACCAAACTAGAAGTGTTATCTATAAAAAGAAAACCAAGTCGTTGGATTCACAGAGTATACACTAATACCCCAACCTCCCCCACCCACATACCTTTCCTGTATATCATACTGAACATTTAATGAACTCATAGAAGTTTTAAGAATTTCATTGTTGAGGTCTTTGAACATAGTTGCGAATTTTTTTTTCCCCTGGGTGAGCAAATAAGGTTTACCTTGACTCTAAAATGTCACACCTCCGTTCCATTCTTTAGCCTTACTTCATAGTTGATTTTACCTAAGGGAGAGGGTGACTTCAAGTCATCCTTTATTTAAGGATCCAGGCACATGACTGGAATGTTGCTCTTATATGTAGAAACCCTGTTGCAATCGGTTGCTGTTGAAAGAACTTTGTTCCATTGAGAAAACTTGCTAAGGAAAAAGAGTAAGAACAAGGATCTGTCAACAGGCAGTGGTTAAGACCATCACACAAGGGGTACGGCCATGGACAGTATTACTTGGCTGCCTTCACACCAAGGCCTAGCAGTTCCAGTTGCCCAGATCTGTACTCTTTTTCTGATATTTAGGTAATCTGTCACTGGCACATTCATATCCATGACCCCACTATTCTTGGTCTTGAGTTCATTCCGACGGAAACAGAAACACTCGTATCTGCCTTGCTTAGGAAAATAGAAACAGCAAACACTGGCATGAGAAATCAGTGCTTCTCACAGCAGCGTGCCTGCCCCACCTGGGTTGCCAGACGAGAGCTCTGTGGACTGTCACTCCTGCACCTCTTGTCTGTGGGACTGCAAGTGTTGGTAATGTCATGTAGGGTTTACAGACACCCAGCAGCATTGTCTTAGTGATTTGGTAGATGTAGCCTTCGTTACATGAAAAAGAAAACTTGTGATAGTTTCATCCTTCAAAATTTAGTTCCATATTCCAAATTCAACTTCAGCTAAAACAGCCTGGCTTTCACTAGTTTAAATGAAGCTTGCAGTTGGGTAGGGTTCTTCCAGCATAACAATACCTTTTTTAAATATGTACCTGTGTTTTTATAGACTTAATTGTAGCAGTTCTGACAGTTATTTTCATGGACAAGACTCACAATGGAAAATAGTTCACATCATCACAGAGAATTCTAATGAAATAATGTTTTCTTATACAGGTCATTAGTCAGAAGTGAAACAAACATTGTCCTTTTATTAAGCTATTACCTCACCTCATTTTGAAAACCCAGAACTGCCGAGAGTTACATTATTTCACTTTCGTAAAATATTAGTTGCGGGAGGAGCTAGTCTCCAGCAGGCATACCATGTTTTGGGGTTATTTTTTTCCCTATTCATTCAAACCCAAGATATTGCTCATCTAAACTTCTGTTAATCACTGTTACAGTAAGTCTGACACAGTGACCTGCCCAGAACCCATCACCGCCCCAGGGCCTGTTCACCTTTGAGTCAGTGACTCAGTGCCTGGGCTGGTGATCACTCACCAGGGAGCATCCTCTGCAGGAACTGCACAGCAGGAATAACGAAGGAAAGCAAGAGATTTTTCTGCAAGAATCTAGACTGAACAGCCACCAGATTTCCGGGTGCTACTATTCTGTACTCTCTGCTTGGTACCCACTGTTTGATGTTAGTAGGAGATAAGTTATTGGTGAGGTCTGAGCGCAGAGAGGCTTCTGGCATTTCTAGGGGAAGAAAGGATGGAGCAGCAAGTCAGTGGGAAGTTCAAGTCCAGAGAGCTTTCTGCTACTGAGGAGGCTTCATTCACATTGGAAGGTCGGCTACGAGCTGTGGGCAGACATAGAGCCAGGAGGCTCCATTCTTCTAGCCAAGAACAAATGCTCAACATTCTGAGCAAGGGAGTGTCGCTGACAGGTTTTCTGTTGGCTGGTGAATAGGAGGATGGAGGCACCACTGAGATAAGAAGACCAATTAGGAGCATGAAGTGCACCAGGGCTCAAGGGAGCGACTCAAGTCCAAGAAAGGGAAGCAAGACACATATCTGGCTGGGGCTGCTGGTTAGATTCTCTGATGAAGGGAATACAGAAGAGGGGAAGAGAGAAGTGGTAAAGAGCTCATGTTTGATGAACACATCCATAGGTAAATGGTTCTAAAGGACAGAGTTTGAGCCTTGAGAGACCAGAAATCATTAATATGTAAGTGGCAGTGGAAGGATGTCTGTTTCTTTCAGCCCTTAAATCCTGTGAGTCAAGTAAATGCTGACAAGTGTCCACGGCAGGAAGTTAGCGGTTGCCTGCGTTAGGAGATGTGATAGCACAGTGCAGATACCCTCTTTGTGGTCGTGATCAGCAAATGAGTTATAATCCCAACCTTATGCTGACATTGAAAATCCAGAAGAATAGACTGATTGAATGCCATCTTTGATTTGATGCTGCAGGGGAAGACTTATTCTTTTTTTAGCTATGAAATAATAATGGATTTCAAGTTCAAGTAGGGGAGGTGAGCTATAGGAAGGTAAGGAAACAGGTGAGAGTTCTCACTGAGGTCAAGAAATTCAGTGTATTAGGCAGACAGTGAATTTGGTTCTAGGTTTGATAACTTTAAGATGATTAACTGGAAATGATTTAGAGTAAGGATTCTAGCTGGAGAGGAAGACTTGGGATCATTCTGAGGACTGTGGGAGAGCCTGGGTGGAGGACCAAGCTGGTCCCAGGATGGATGGGGGAGGGAGAGTTCTAAGCCCTGGCAGACTCCACCTTCAGGCTGTGAAAAGGATAAGGGCCAGCCAAAGTGGTCAAAGGCAGACCAAGAATAATACTCTCTCATGGGTCATGAAGACACAGAGTTCGAGGCGGAGGAGCTGTTGACCAAACTTCGAGGTCAAGGGTGATGGTGACTGATTGGAAAATGACCATGGATTTAATCATGGGTCTGTCAGTGGTGACTTTTCTCAGAGGAGGACTGTAGGATGAAGAGTTGGGAATTCATTGAGGAGAGTGGTAATTGCAGTAGTTGTCCTTGGTGTGCTTGTTGGAGCCGAACTCATACCGGTAGCGCCACCTATTGGTTGCTTCTGATGTTACATGCTCTGCAGCGTTCCAGGCACACTGGTCCCATCTTACTAACTGCTGCAGTAATTCTAAGGACACAGGCATGATATTCTCAGTACTGTCAGTGATTACTTTCTACTAATATTTTGAGGCATTTTGCAACGGTAAAAGGAAGGGAAAATTAGAGTAGGTGATATTATGGCTGATGCAAGTTTTTCCAGGAGAATTCAATATTTTTTAAGGCAGTGAGGGAGGAAGTGAGGAAGAATAATTGAAGATTTGAAGAGATGCTGGAGCATGAAAAGGTAGGCATAGAGGGAGAAGAGACTGGTAGGAGTCGGAACAGGACCAGCCTTGGGAGGAGAGGGGACACATGTTTTTCCCTGACCAAAAAAAAAAATTAAATTAAAATTGAAGGATCTTACATAGTTGCTCATGTTTTCTTATTCAAAAGTGAGACAATCTCTGAATTTAATCTTGGTGGATTAATCTTGATTGGGAAGGAAAGTGAGACAAATACTGAAAATCCTTACTTGTATATTTTTTCCTTTAGAAAATGCCTTGGACTTTTCTTTGAAAAATTTAAGAAGAGAAACAGTCCATTTTATTAACTTCTCAAAACTGAATTCTGTCTCTTTTTTATTTGTTTTCTCATTTCATTGTTCAAGTATAAAAGCAAATTCTTCACATGCATTTGGAGGTAGTGATTGCATTTTCTTAATTGTTTCTCCAATAACTTGTGTTTGGGGATGGTGAATACCAGAGTCAGAGAGGCCAGAGAGCCTGGTAAATGGGAATGTGTGACAGTGCAGTGAATAAGGAGAAAGGAAATTAAACACTGGAGAGTAAAATTAGTAACTGGGAGGAAACAGAATTGTATCTTCAAATCTGTTGGTAACTTTACAATTGAGACATCACTGTTTTTAGAACATTGTTATGAATGGGGGGAGGCAAAATACCATTATCAAGTCAGTAGAGAACAAAATGAATACACAGGTTCATCACTGGTTAATCATGGGACAACAGTGACATCGAGGACCTTGGGTGACTTCAACTGGGTTGAATTCATCAGTCCCCATCTCTCTCCTACTCCCATCTCCTTCTCCCTTTTCTTTTCTCTCACTTTCCTCCTCTCCCCTTCACGGAATGCTGTTTAGATTGATAAAGATTATCTGTATGGTTGAGCAAACCATTACCCAGACAGGCCAGTCTTGTTTCATGCCCCAACTCTGCAGATTGAACTATTACCCTTGACCATCATTGGACAAGTAATGATCCTTTCACACACTATCCCTGTAGGAATAGGTCCTCCTTGGAAGCAAAGAGTTGAAAACCTGTAGAAAACACTGACAGTGGCAACTGTAGCTGTCATTTCAGTTGGAAAACATTCCAGAGGAAAAATGTTTTCTCCTAGAACCCAACAGTTTGTGGATTAAGATATTTTCGTCAAAACATTGTATCTGTTAGATGTTTTTGAAGTTCACTTCTGTGTAAACATGATCATCTCTACTCACCCGGGTGTGCTGGGCGCCCTGTCACTCCATTACTATCTGGTGTTTGTCAGTCTGTTTTGTGTCTGACGTTAAATGTCTTTTTTGCAGATATTGATGAATGTGTAAACAACACTGTCTGTGACAGTCACGGGTTTTGCGATAATACGGCTGGCTCCTTCCGCTGCCTCTGTTATCAGGGCTTTCAAGCCCCACAGGATGGGCAAGGGTGTGTGGGTGAGTTTTTAGCCTCTTTCCCCCCCAACCTGTCTCACGTCTGTTGAAACGAAATCAAAGTTGTCGATAACGAGAGATGGGAAGTAAGGGTCTTGGAGGCAGGATTTCAACTTGATTTGATGTTGTCATACAACTTGGGGATAACTGGAAATAGCCCGCACTTATGAAATGATTGGGGACTTTAAGAAATAAAGAAATCTAACTTTGAATTTAAATGTATATTAAAAAGAACATCTGTTTAAACTCTTAGCTGAGTCTGCAGAACACTTGAGTCCCTCCCGCACAGGAAATAGAGTCTGGTGTGTGGTAGAGCTTGTCTGTCTGCAGAATGCACCTCCTTGGGCCGGGCATATAAGGAAAAGCACTGGCAAGAGTCTTAGTTTCCAGGAATGACACCCGTAAAATGATGCTTTGAATTGTGCAACTCTCTCTCTTCAGTCTGTTCCAGGATTGACAGAGCTGGAAGGACTCTTGACTATCATCAGATGTCTTAGACTAGGGTCCAGCACAGGCTCACACAGCAGATATTGTGTATTTCATTTTCTGATGTTCTTTAAATCACATTCATTGTATGAAGAATGTTTGCAATGAGTGCAACTACATAGGAAAGAGAAGAAAGGCTATTAAGTTAAAACTTCACTGATAACAAGGCCTTTATTTCTCTTTATGAAAAAAGCAGCCTTCTTTAGGGCAGAGCTAATGGTGGCCTGAGGAAGGCTCAGTAACTTTTTAGTTTGGAGAGTTGCTTTTAAGGCATTAATTCATTTCCCCTCCAGATTAAACTGGGGAAAGAAAAATCTCTTTGGGGTAGTAATGATAAAAAGCATCCAAACAGGAATCAGTTTTAAGCTACGACTATCCTAGTTGCTACTTCCAACTTCTGCTTTAATCTTTCACACTGGAGTACAAATGATAACAGTCTGCTGCCGCCACTTAGTGTTTTGATTAACTGGGTCCTGTGTTCTGGTTCCCACTTTCTTTCTCAGCCTCAGCACTTCAGCACTTCCTGCCTCACCTTGGAGGTTCGTGCAATAAGAAGCTCTTGCAGCCTTTCACGAAAATAAGCGATTGTTTGGCTCGTTTGCCCCTTCCGCTGGGCATCTTCTCACCCCCTCCCCTTCCCTGAGTCTGGCTAGACCACACTCATTCCTAAAGATGGAGGTTAGATGCACCCCGTCCAGGTATGGTCTCAGCTCCATTTATAGCTCTTGAGCTGAACTGTGGCATCTCCTCCTGCACTCCAGATACCTCCAGCAGGTTCTCTGATGGACTCACAACCTCTTTGGGACCACTGAACCTCATGAGTGCCACCTTTCAGTGCCTTCTCCAAGGCAAGAGCTCCATGTGATTGGGAAGTTCTCTCTCCCTCCTGTGCAGACGGATGTGGGGGTGTTGTCAGTGCTCGGTACATTTGGTTGAAGGGCTTGAACTCTTGAACACCAAGTTTTGAGCCACTGACTCCACAAGCCCCTGCCTCCACCTCTGTCTCCAGATGAATGCATGGAGCCCATGGGAAGATTCATCTCGGGACACAAAACCCCCCCCACCTTTGAGAAGAGGTATTGGTTATCATTTCAGTGACCGTAACAGGCATTTATAAACTTTTTGAAAACGCCTAACTGAGCATCTGTGATACACACATCACCACCTTGAGTGTTCTATAGAATTGAAGAAATGAATTAGCTGAGACCAACCTTCTGCTTTTTGCGCTCTGACTCTGGCTCCACCTCCCCCATCCCACTTCTCTTCCTTTTTTTTTTTTATCACCGTCTCCACCTTATCACCTACCTGTGGGCACTTGGCTCCCACGCCATCTCCTTAACCTGCCCCCTGCTCCTGCCTTCCACTGTTCCCAGCTTTGGGTATGGTGCTCCATGCTTCTCACTGCTAGCCTTGAAATCGCTTCATTCATTTCCCTAACTGGACTCTGAGCTCCGTGAAGGTAGGAGTTGGGCTGCCTGGCTCTTCATTCTTTCCCTAGAGTCCGGCTCATAGAGGTAAATGAAAAAAATAAAAAATATGTTGAATGAATGCGGTCTGGTGGGAGAGAGTTCAATAGCCATGTAAATAATGCAAGTTAAGAAAGTAGAAAGTTCCATTTGACAGTTTCCTAAAACTGATAAATGTGAACTGGCAAATTTCTAAAGTCAATTTTTCTGGTCTAAATTATGACTGTCTAGGTTGATTAAATATACCAATGCTGTGCTTAACTTTAGGTTACAATATCTTTTCATAAATAAAACCAGCTCATTGGGTTTATATCTGTTTATATACAGAGTGAAATGGAAAACTGAGGTAATTATCCAAATAAGTCAAAATACATAAACGTTTTGTCCAATTAACTGGGGATAGCAGGTGAAAATAGGTTTTTTTTTTTTCCTTGAGTGATTTGGGTAACTGCTCAAATTTTTAACTTTGTATAAACCATCTCCAAGTGTGCTCATGAACTCTGATGTCTGTACATGTTTAATTCATAAGATACATGAGCACTTCATGTATCTTGCTGAACTGGGCATTCACCGATACAACTTTTCCAGTGGAAACAAGGTGAAAGGTGGTATGGCAGAATCAAATATAACATTAACCTTTCTTTGGGGCTGTGTACTTGCATGATGCTAAATAAAATTTACTCCCCAATTTCTTAACGGTGTTTCAAGTAAGTGAATTTAGGTACATAAGATAAATACTTAGAAAAATAAAAATTACACTGTGGACCACTAATAGGATTTTGAAGAAGAAGTGGAATTGGGAGTCACTGGTTTCATGTGAATGACTAATGTAGCCTTGTGAATATTTGCAGGGGTCCTTTCTTCATTTCTCAACAGGATACACAATCTATGTGTCCTATTTGTTAAGTTAAGGGCATTTTGACTGCTGGAAAACTATATTTCAAGAATCTGAGGAGACTTAAAAGCAATTAAAAAATAAGTTTGAAGAACACTGGTTTCTAAAGTGCATTGCTGCTCATTTTTCTTGAATTAAGAACTGAGAATAAAATGTTGTTATTTAAGGCTTTGTTGTATCAAAAAGCCAGGGAAGACACATCGACATAGAGCAGAGAGGATGCTGGCATTGTCATTCTGGGGTGTCCCTTAAAGCCAAAATTGGAAACTATCACTTTGCCCTTTCGTGGTCCTTTCATACAAACCAACCCTACCTGCCCATGTTAGCAGCCCCTTTCCTAGAGCAAAGGCACTTGATGGTTCCATGGGGGGTTCCCTCCTTTCCAGCAGACACTACTAGCCTTGGCACAGCTGGTGAAGTAAAGAGCCGTCGGGAATGAGGCACACGCCTGACTTGCTCAATGTCACCTTTTCCAGATGTGAACGAATGTGAGCTGCTGAGTGGCGTGTGCGGTGAAGCCTTCTGCGAAAACGTCGAAGGGTCCTTCCTGTGTGTGTGCGCTGATGAGAACCAGGAGTACAGCCCCATGACTGGGCAGTGCCGCTCCAGGACCCCCACAGGTAAGTATCAGGCCCTCCCTCCCAGGGACCTGTACCCACGCAGGTGTGGGCTAAACACTCTGGGCATGAGGGAAGAAACAACTAAGTATTCTGGCACAATGGTGTCTCTGGAAGCTTTCTTGTTGTTTCTGAGCCTGCCCAATCAATGGTGTTTAGGATGTGTGTGTGTTGGGGGCGTGGGTGATTACTGGACCTCCATCCCAGAGATTCCACAAGTGTGGGATAAAGAATCCAAAATGATGAGAACACTTGGTGGGAATTGCATACAACACAGCTGTCTCCTTGGGGTTTAATATGGCGTCATCTCAGTGTTCAGTTACCTCATCCTTCTTTCTTGGCCCTCAGAGAAAGGTATCTTGACACCTCTCTAAATTAAAAGTAACATACAGGCCTCTCAGGATCTACAAGACTTCCACTTGGAATTTTTAAGGTGTTTTTCCAAAATTTGACTTAGAGAGTGGCTGTGTTTGCATTCATTTAAAATTTGATTTAGGCTGTGCTGTCGTGGCACAGATTGCTATGGAAAGCTGAGGGGTTTCTAGATAAATTAATCAACGTCCAGACTGCTGTTGGTTTGTGCCAAGGAGCTATTGCTTGGTTGTGTTTTAGGGAAAGTGAGACCAAATGGTCCTTTGAGAGCCAAATGAAAGGCAACATAGACCATTTTATTTTCTTGTCAGTGTTGGTTGTTTTTTATTGTTGTTGTTGGAAGACACTGCATCAGAACATTATTTAAGCTTGAAGCATTCTTCATAGATCTGTTGACTTTATTCATGTTCTAAGAAAGCTCTCACTACTCAATAGGATACACTCATTCCCTGTCAAATAATCACCTTGATAAGGAATAGGGGACATTGTTCTTCTTGATTTTTTTCAATAAAAGTGAGGATGCAGAATAAGATGAATAATCATTAAAAAATATGATCTTTGCATGGAATCAACCCAAATGCCCTAATGTAGATGACAGGATTTTAAAAATGTGGTATATGTACACAATGGAATATTACTCAGTGATCAAAAAAGATGAACTCATGCCTTTTGCAGCAACATGGATGGAGCTGGAAGAAATCATGCTTAGCAAAATAAACCAGAAAGAAAAAAACACTGGATGGTTTCACTCACAGCATGAGTATAAAGGAATGGGGGGGGAATATTAATAATGAACAACTATATACCAGAGACATTTTATGGAGGTGGAGTGGGGATCAAAAATAGAGGGATGGGTAATGCATGGGCACACGGGTGAATTGATGTTGGGAAGTCCATGGGGATTACAACTGAGATGGGAAAAGGCACAAGATGATGTAAAAATAAACTCTTATAATAAAAAATATATATATATGGTCTTTGAAAGGAAGGAGTGAGGGACCCTTGGACAGGGGGTTACTGTCCATTCCTGTGACCAATATGTGACACATAAGCTGCAGAGATAAGACCTCATCTTCGTTCTACCTACAGTAATGACAACAAAGGGCCTGGTTGGCCTTCTTGGTCACTGAAAAGTAACTGTCTTGTTTGTCTTGGGGGTTCTCTAGAGTAGCATCTCACCTGTGGTTTATTTTGAGTGAAATAATTCATGGGTCATAATGCTGTATAGTCATTCAAAAGGCCTATATAAAGAGCAGTAGTTATGATGAATGCACACTATACAATACTAAGTGAAAAAGCAAGATATTCTAATGACCACACTCTATGGAGGGAGGGAAGGAAAGAATTAATAAAAAACATAAGTATTGAAATTAGTGGAAATTTAAATTTGTTCTTTTTTTTTCCCTTCAAATAATACTTTACATTAGAAGACATTGGTCTTCTAATGTAAAGTATTATTTGCAGCTGTGTAAGCTTAGGGACATCATTCATCATCTCTGAGTTTTAGTTTTCTCACCTGTAAAATAGGTTCTATTCACCTCGCAGGGTTATATGAATGCTAAAAGAAATCATATATGTAAAAACCATTTGTTAATGTCAAAGTACTATATAAAGTATTAAATCACAAGCTATGATCCAAACACATGAGGGATATCCATTTCTCACCCTTTCATAATCTCTTTTGAAATATTCGACCATTTAACTACAAATTCTTTTTTGGTGGAATGTTTTAAGTAACATCAAGAAATGGCTCTTCCAGTTCACATAACTTCATTTATAATATATGTCTGGAGCCCTACAGTGTCTCTCTTTCAAAATTAATCATATAATAAGGTAATTTAATAGGATCATGAGACCATTTTTGCTAAACCAGCCTAACTTCTAGTAAACTGCTTCTTCAAACTTCGTGTTGCCTCTTCTTGTAAGTCTCATTCCTTATCTCCTATAAAGCTGTAACCAAGTCCCTAACACCTTCTTTGCCTTTTCCTTAGTCTACTTGCTTTCTCATTGAGTGACTCATTCTGGAAAGTTCTTCTGGTAGAGTCATAACTCCTGTGTTTTCAGAGAACATGGTTTGAATACGCAGCTTCTTAAAGCTTGTCTTCCAGTGAATATGTAGTTTTTCCCCCCCTTTTCACATCGTGTATATTTTCCTTAAATTGCTGGGTTTATTGCATATCCTCCCCATAATTTGCTGGCTTCTGCTAAATAGTCTACTTGCCAAATTGTTTTACTGGTCCCTGCTAGTATATTCTGACTTAAGCAGGAACTGGTGAAGCTTATTAATTTGTATAATTCCTGGCGACTTTGACTTCTCCCATATTTCAGTTTGTATAGTTCTTGGTAAACGATGATATGGATTCTTCCGATTATCTTGTGATGTCATGTTCATCTTAGCAAAGCACTAGCAGTGTCCTAAGGGGCCAGTCGAGCCAATAATTGATCAATTGTTTGCAAAAAGTGACTAAACCCAGAGCTGGTTGACTGAGCATTCTGCTTCCCTGCACGTTGCCCAGAGTGATTGTCCCAGGGCCAGTGAATATCAGCTAGCCAGACCAGCTAGCTAGATGGAGGCCTGTTAAAACTGTGTATAGCATAAGGTGTGCGATCCTTTCCTCTATACCATTTACAGTGTTGTAAACCCATGTTACCACAATTAAAAAAGAGAGAAAGAACACTTAAAAAAATAAAAGACTTTGTATCATACGGCATTTGAAAAATCTGCCGTTCCACAGAACAAAACACTATCAAATTTAAAGTTTTCAAGCAATTTAATTTGAATCCACACAAGACCTAGAAACAGCTGAAATCTCATCCTTACTGAAGAGTATCAGGAGTAGAATTAGGAGTTAGGAAAGGGAAAATAGACTTATAGGAGAGGCTGTACCATTTTCACTTGTCTGCAAAAAACAAAAGCAATTCCTCAGGACTTGACATTCCCAGGAGGAGCAGTAGCCCGAGGCCAGGTGTGGAGGCAGCTTGAAGACAGGGCGGAGCTGCCCTGCTGTCAGAAAGCAGGTTTCAGAGACTCCCACTACCCAACTGACTCATGAAGTTGTGGGTGTTTTCCCAGAGGCAAGTGGCCCAAAAGCACCCACTTTCCAGCAGAAGATTGTTCCCAAAGGCCTTTATGGTAACCTTGAACTTGAATCGTCTAAGATTTTTATTTCTAAGCTTCCTGGCTCCCACCTAGGTTTTTTTTGGTCTGGTCTAATGTTTTTCACTGCCTGGGCCTTTGGCCACTAATTTACATTGCTGTACATTGCCTAAAAATGTCTAAAACCAGAAGTAACTAAAAAATGTCCATTCCAGACCACTCATCACGTGTAAGAGGGTATGGATATGAAATACAGTCTGAAGCTTTTATTTCCTCAGTGCCTGTGATAATTGCTCAATAAAAACTTTATGTCTTTGGGCACTCTAAAGGAAGCAGTAAATATTTAGTCTTGGCAACTGTGACCTTCAGTCCTTACCCACAAAATGCTGTTCTCTGCCTTGATTGGTACATACAGAAGGTTCTGTGGTAAGAACTGCATTTTATTTTTAAAACAGAATGTATAGCAAAAAGAACACAATTAAATATAAACATATATATTATCATCAATGTAGGTGTTCCTTACTTGAAGAAAAGCAAATAAAACAAGACCCCAAATTATAAAAAACAGTGGAGTGAATATTGGTTTTATAATTTTTTTTAATGTGAAGCTCTATAGGGATTCCTGAACTATCAATTTTCTCTAGTATGTTGGAGAACTTATTCAGACACCAGAGCTAGATCTTAGACCTCTCAATCTTAAAACCAACCTAGTGATTTTCCAGTGTGGCTCTTTCATATTCAGTAAGGAAACCCAGACTTAGAAGGAGCAAATGCTTTTTTCCTTTGGGTTCAGCAGCCAAATTAGCACAGGAAGCTCCCTTGGTCCCTCCACTTCACTGTTCTATTTCTCCAGGCTAGAACGGCCTACCACGAAATTCTTCTAAGAGTTGCTTCCTTTTCATTTTCATTGTCAGTTTTGGTCTCATTATTAAAATAATGCATATTTATCTTAGACCCTGGGCAAATAGAGAAATCCCATGCAGTGTCACAGTACAGAGATAATCTGTCACCTTTTTAACATTACCGGAGCCTGCATGGGGGTCTCCCCTTGATCTTCAACCCTCTGAGAGCAGAATCAGAGGCTCCCCTTCCCCCTCTGCCCCCACTCCCCATCAGGGAGCGTCTGGAAGTTAAAGCCATCAGCCTCACCTCAGTCTCCCTCTTTGGAAACAGCTGACGATGGCTTCTCCCTCCCCTCCTCTCTCTGCCCTCGGATTTCAGAAAACCTGTGCCCTGAGTCCTCCGACCTCCTGGACTGGTCTTTTTCTGTCTTGTTCTCAGCTGCTTCTCCTGCCCTTTCCTTAACTAATCATGACCCAGGGAGCGGCCTGTTTTGACTCTGTTCTTTCCCTGCGGTGTCTTCCCCGCTTCTCTGAATCGACATGACATGACATGAGCTGGCCTCCATCTGCGAGCGCCTCTCCCCGAGCACCTGACGCCTGCGAGCGCCTCTCCCCGAGCACCTGACGCCTGTTTGCAGCTGCTTGCGGGCCCCTTTGCCCGGGTGTTCGTGAGCGTCTTCCTGACATGGTAC